GTCTTCCAGCTTGGTAAGTCTGTGGTGGCGAAGGTAAAGATCCCCAGGGGAACTGTCCTGACTCTGGACATGTTGACGGTGAAAGTGGCCGAGCCTATGGGCGTCGCTGCCGAGGACATCTTCCAGCTGGTCGGTAAGACCGTGAAGGAGACAATGGAGGAGGACGACAGCGTCTTGCCAGAGGTGGTGGAGGGTTACTGCAAGAAGTGCTGAGGATGGAAGATTTGAAGTGGGTTGAAAATGGCAATATAATCAATTTTATCTGGGGCTAATTCAAAAGGAGCTTGTGCAATGGTCAATTAAATTATTGCTGCTGAGGTTCCTGACATTAAAGTCATGGACGGTCAGTAACTACCTACAGTTTTAAAGCTTTTACATTTGTTAAAAGCTGCCTTTATATAATATACTATCTTTCTGGCTCAACAGGCTGTTATTTTACAAATGTTGCACTATAGTTTTAGCCCTCACTGAAGAGATTAAATTAAGATTGAACACATGAAGCTCCCCATTTCACAACAGTATGAATAAAGACCCAGTTTGCCAAACATTAGGTGCATTTTTCTCGTAACAACTCAGTCATTTTAATTGTGTGATGTCAAGCAAAGTTTGTATTTGTACTCATTCTTTAAGACTACTGGAGCCAGACACTAACAAAACCAAAAGAAGAAATATGTACACATCCGGGACACGGCTGAATTTCTTCTCTCAATATGAACCTTCTTTTGCTTCTTCAGTCTTTATGCTGACACCAACAACGCCTCTAATCACAGTTGCAAGATGTAGGATGTTTACACTTTACTTGACAACATCTGAGATCTATGATGTGCAGAAAATAAATAAATGTTGCCAGAACTTCCACCTTTTCCACTTTGGTTGTCTTTCAAATGTTGCTTTGATGCTCAGATCAGCTTTGTGCGTTCCACATTCATGGTGTACTCTCTTTGACATGATGGGTTTGTTTTTATAGATGTGAAGTAATTATCTGAAAATTGGCATAGCATGCTATAATTTGAGTATTGCGCAAAGTGTTTTAAAATCTAGACTGCAGATGGAAATTAGCCTCTATGGCTAATCCGGCACATTTAAATGATGGACTCCGGTGCTCATGTTGATTAATGTGCATTGTCCCTCCTTAAATAAATAAATACAAATGTATTTGCATTTAATAGATCAGAGGATCTGTTAAAAGAGCTGTACACACAAAATGATGTCCTGAGATACATCGGCATTCAAAAATATTCTCAAGATAATAATGTAAGTAAATAAATAATAATTGCAATTTTCTTTTTAAGGGTGCACAACAACATCTGGTTCTAGTCTTGCAGTGTTCTCTCAGAGTATCTGACAAATTAAGGTCTGTTCCTATTAGTTAAATCACCCCTGATAAGAAATGTAATTGCAGTAACATCATTGTGGTCAACAACACTGAAATGGTCACAATAAACATTAAACGAGGTAGAAATAAAGCAATGATTAACTATAAGCCATATTTGAACCTTTCAAAGTCTATAAAACTATAAGTTCTGTTTCAGCAGAGGCACCCCAATAAAATAATAGAGTCCTGTAATCCGATGTTCTGGATGTGGATCAGTCGAGTGAGTCTGACGCTGTTTTAGTGTTACACCATCTTCAGATGTAGGAGCCTGTTTGTTATTGCAGGTGTTAATGTTAAATATACTAAACTTTGTATTAAACCGAACACAAATTGAACAATGCTAGAATCTAGCATCTTCTCTTAGGAGCTAGATGCTTTACTTACAAACAAACTCGGTTTACGAACTTAGTTGGTAAGAATGACACTGAAGTATTGAGTTGAAACTTCTCTGACAACAGAATCACAAAATACTGGATGGTAACCTACTGCTGAAAAGTTTACATTTTAATATGTCATGCAAGACAAACTTGCGAGTTGTACAACAAATTAGCTAATGTTCTCCTTGAACCTCCAGATGGAGCTGTTGGATTTACCAAAGCAACATGTTCAACCCGTCTGTTGTAGTCCATTTGTGTTGGATAAGTGAGATAAGTGTTTTAAGGAACTGTCATTCTGTCAATTAATGTCCAAATATAACAAGTATAGCTCCACATCTTTTCACAAACAATGACAGTTTAGCAACAAGTCACTGAACTAATGTCTGCTGGACTGCGAGTCATCCTGCTCTCTGTATGTAAGGATCAGAGGATGTCTCCAAGAAGTTGTCTCTCAAGCCTTTCAAGGTTGTATGGTCTGCATGGGTGGATTATGATGACCACAGATTAACCATAGATCTTAAAACTTCAACAACTGAGAGACATCAGCCCGCCAAACCTTTACCGCCAGCTGCTGGTGGAGGAACACTTCCTCCATCTTAACTACAACATGTTTCAGCCTTAAGAGGAAACAGGTGTGACCGCCCTCACTGAGCTTCAGTTGGGTGCTCAACCTAGAACACAAACAACCAAAACAGCAAAGTGTTTATGTCAGCTGTGCTCTCTTTGTACCAAATTTGATTGAGAATCAAATGTACCCACTTCTGTGTGCATAGAAGTTAAAGTCTTAAAGTGAAACTTATTTCCTATTGTCAAATGTATTGTATTTCAAGAAAGCAGCAAGGAGGGTTTTTCAAATATTCAGCAATACCAATGAAAGTAGTTTCAACAATTAATGAAGGTTACCACTCAAATATCCTTCACGTTTTTGTTCCCTTTTGTGGCAACTATGGCGATGAGCTGTAACTGCAAGTGTTGCGAATGTGACTTTTCCTGAGATCTCGCTCATTTGGCAGTAGATCGTCACTTAGAGACAAAAATAAAACACAGAAACACTGAAAAAACTAAAACACAGAAACACTGAAAATACAAACAAAAAAACAAGCTTGTGTGCTAGTATGGTTTTTGAATAAACACATCAGTATTTTAAAAAGTCGATGGGGGGCTGATACAATTTGACTTTTTAAAATGACACAAAGATACAAGGGGGCAAAGTACAAACACTCTGTTTTCTGACTAAATTAACCCTGGCAGGTTTATGTAAAGTACAAGTGTCTGCAGTTAAAGATTTATCTGAACAAGACACTTATACTTTACATAAACCTGCTCAAGTAGTGTAACTCATTACATTTCAGAGACAGTAATATTGAAATGTAACTTATTACTTTCAAAAGAGAGTAATAAGTAATATGTAATATATTACATTTTGGAAGTAACTTGCCTAACACTGTAGTTAATAAAGTAATTACACATTAGTTCACAAGCCATACAACTTAAAAAAAGAAGATCTTTAGTTAACACAAATCATATTAACACAAATCATATTAAAAAACGAATCTAATTTAGAGAGGACAATAAAGGTTTTAGGTGACTTAGTGAGTGAAAATTAATGGCTTTTTATTTAGTTTGAGCGTATTTCTTTTTAAAACTAACTCCACCCCCCTATCTTTCTGGCATAGGATAACAGCAAAATCAGGGGGTGACAGGAGGGGGGAGAGAAAGCGGGGGAGAAGAAGGGGTGTGAGGGGGGCGGGGGGAGACAGTCTCACACATCCAGACTCTATTTTTCATGAAGAGCCTCAGACGGAGGGTCTGAACCCGGCACAGATACTGCATCCGCGTCTTGATTGGCTCTCCTGACGGATGGCGGTAAGTTGTCACAGGCGTCTCGCTGATTAAACCCATATCGGAAGGAAGGGGTGGAGAAAGGGGTAGAGGCCGGGGGTGTGAGGGGACGGGTGCGAGACAGTCTCACGCACAACTTCAAAGAGACTGCCTTAATCAACACCTAGATTAACATCAGAGGCTTATAACACGCCGGTGTGAAATCACACCTACCTGTTATAACACCTCAACCCTCACATCAAAGGATTAGACAACAAAGGCGCTACACAGGGGGGCATTTCACACCTACGTGTGATGACACCTCACCCCTCACATCAAAGGATCTCACACCTATGTGTGTATCACACCTAGGTGTGACATCCACCTCGAACAAAGGGAGTTAGCATAATTGGGGGCGGGCCCACCTGTCACTTTTTATGCATACTAATGTGATGAATGCCGCATTATTACTACTCCTAGACAAGTCCCTATAGACGGAGCTGCTGTCATCCCAAAATACACGATGATTATGCCCTACCTTTTTTTAATAAAATTACAAATGAACTATGCGTTCTTCTATTCTATTACAAATGTATAATTTGGTGTGTGAATTGCACTGTTATTATCTCCTTTAAAGCAGTTATCATTCAAAGAAAGAAGGGAAACATCGATAGAACAGTTGAAAACAAACACATTACATTTCATTTATCTGACGCTTTTATCCAAAGCAACTTACAATAACTGCATTGAACCAGGATGAAGCAAACTTAAAAGGAAGAATCCTGCAGGTACATTTCCTACCTATAAGCACAACCACATTCAGTGCTACTGCATTAGCTTAGCTTCACTTAAAGCCAAACCGTTAAGAGCTACGTAAGTGTTACGTGGCTCTATACTTTTGCTGTAACAATGTACACTCTTTGGGACGAATAATACTAATAATTGTACTTTTGTTGTTATTTATCTTTACTTGCTTGTGAAGCGTCTTTGAGCACCAGGAAAAGCGCTATATAAACACCATGTATTAGTATTATTAAAGGTATTCTGATTGTAATGTAATAGAGTGAGAGGCTGATACAATGTGGGTCACCTCTCCCACGACACACAGCCACAGATTATTTATCAGCCTGAAACTCTCCTGTAGATTGTTCAACAAAACAATAGTAGTTCTAGTATTAAAAAGTCTTAATAACATCCTCCGTGGAATATGGTATTCACTGAAACTGCTGTCCTCCTGCTCACCTTTCATGTTGTTGTTTTGTATTTGTTGGGCTTATCATGATAAATGAAACTAATGCCCTCATATTAAACACACACACAGTGTATTCACAGTGCTGACACCAGATCCTCTGAAATGATGAATGTGTTGTGATGACGAGAGGAGATAAACTGTCTGTCTTTTTCTCTGAGGGCCAGGTCTTTTCAACAGGACGAAGGTGTAACCTGTGAATAAGAAAGGATGTGTTCAGGTAGATGGATCATCCCATCCTGACCTCTTTATTTCTCAGAAACATGAAGCTATCAGTGATATTTGGTGCACTTCCTGATCCCTGTCTCCAGGCGCCAGGGAGCGGCCTTTTATCCCAGCAGAACAAAAGGTGCAGGTTTCTCTGTTATTGGTCACCAGACAATATAAATATCATGTCTCGTATGTGTTCAGAGAGTTGCAGTGAAGATGAGGGTCTTTGTGTGCTTGTTTTTGGTGTCGGTGCTGGGCTGCAGTCTGGCTGAAGGGAGAGTCGTGACCAAATGTGATCTGAAGGACGTGTTTAACAACCTGCCGGAGGGCGCATGGCCCCAAGGAAACATAATGACTGATGACTTCCTGGCTAAGCGTGAGTACTGGCTGTCGTGTCAAATTATCATATAATCATTTAAAACATATCGTCTTCAAAGTCAAAGTCAAAATTAACTTTAATGTCAATCTTACTCAGTTTGTGTTTACAGACAGAGAGATCGAAATGACGTTTCCAACAATCCCAAATATAAAATTATACAATATACAAATATGTATAAAATATGTATATCCTATATACACAATCAACAGACACATTTACATATGCACACATTAAGATAAAAAACACAACAATCAATATATACAAAATAACAGTCTCTTCAATATCAATATCTTTGGTGCAAGATTGTCCATAAAATGTGCATTTATTGCAGATTGTCCATAGCAGCGTAAAAAATAGTGTCTGGTGCTGGATTTGAGTGTCTGAGTGTGTGGGAGTTATAGCAAATAATCATACAATAATTTAAAACATATAGTCTTATGCTCTGGTTAATTGTATTTTTAGTCTTGTATGTGTTTAACAGAGGCACGTGTTAAGGGTTTACATTTCAGGAGGGCAAAGGAAGTGTAAAAGGGGGATTTGCAAATGTTAAGGACGAGGGGTTTTATGGTTTAATGGTGGGGATGTTTAGATGATGCCTAAGAGAATTTAAGGGTGGGACCAGTTGGATTTTATCTACTCTATAATGTGACTGTAAGCTGAGTTCAGGGTGCATAACTTCTCTATCCTCTGAGGATGAAGTAGCTCTGTTCCTGCATTTGAGATCGATTTCACTTGTATATTGACTTTCTTTATTCCTTTATTAAAAATAACAAAAGACAAACTTTGTCCATGAATCATTTATCAGTTTCTCTTAAGAATGTCCACACTGGCTGAAGCATTGGTTTAAAGTATGCAGAATGTTGATTATTCTCTCAGATAGCTACATGCTTGGGACTAGGTGAGAAAGCTTCAGCATGTGTTGGACAGGAGCTGTGTCACTTCGTTGCTTCAGCAAATCTCAATTCTCCAGCCGTAACTCCCAATAAATCTTCAGTTTCTGACATCAGTCTGAGCTCTTTCTCTCCTTGTGTTCTGATCCAAAAGTTCCTTAGCAGTTTGTATTAATGTTTCTCGCCGTACTCCTCTCCAACTCTGCTTTTTTTTCGTTTTATTTCAGTGTTTACTTTACGTCGTGTGCTTTTTACTTTGTATTAACTTGCACATCTCATAACATTCTCTTGCACTATTCTATCTGTTTTATTTGTTCTATTTCCTCTATACATTCATGTTGCACTGTTGGAGGAGCCTATGACTTCAGTGTTTCATTGCCATACACTGTATCTATTCTACAGTAGATATGTGCAAATGATAATAAAGCCTTGAAAATTGAATTGAAACTCCTTTGTCTTAGTTATCTGCCACGTGGAGAAGGCGTCAGAATTTAACACCAGTGCCGTGAACCAGCTGATTCCCAGGAAGAAGGGCAGCCATCTGAGAAGAGGTCGGAGGGATGTGGATGAATCAGAGGGTCTGAGAGGATCGTTCAGCAGCGTGGATCTTCACCAGCGGAAGAAACGCAGCTCTGAGCATGACTCCAGCAGTGAGGAGAAACACTCCAGCAGTGAGGAGAAACACTCCAGCAGTGAGGAGAAACACTCCAGCAGTGAGGAGAAACACTCCAGCAGCGAGGAGAAACACTCCAGCAGCGAGGAAGAGGAGGAGGAGCAGTGGACCCTCTACGGTCTCTTCCAGCTCAGCGATCACCTGATCTGCAGCGATGGAGCCACGCCATCACCTGACCGCATCTGTAACGTCACCTGCAGCGGTGAGTGGGGAACCGTTTGTGGTGAAGAGGTATTTTTAGGAAAATGTCATATCCGTAAAAATAAATGGGCTGACACAAAACTAAATTGTGTGCATTTCTATCAAGAGTTTAAACCAGGGGTGTCCAAACTACGGCCCGCGGACCATTTTGAATCGGCCCTCAGCAAATTCAAAAAGTATAATGGAATATGACCCACAAATGAAACTTGTGCTTGTCTTATATTGTACTTCTTAAGCATATATGTAAACATATATCACACAGTAGTATTCATGTGTTAATAAGCCCACTTTTCAAATAAATTATGTTAATTAAAGTTGGAAACATTTTCTAAGTAATTTTCTAAAAAATCTAAGTTGATAAGAAAAAATCCCTTATGTACATAACAAGCTTGACGTATACACTTCCTGTTTCCCATCATTATAATCAATCTGAGGCTTCTGTTTTGAGGGATGAGCATCATTTGCCTACATTTGATTGATTTTCTAACTTATAACTGAACTTATGAGGCAATATACCTCTAGTGAGCGCCCCAGCCCTTCGTATATTTTTCTGTATGTGGCCCTCTGTGAAAAACGTTTGGACACCCCTGAATCAAACAATATATTAGCACTATTAAAAACGTTAGGAATAAGAAGACCATCAAAACCAATATGATATTTAAGACATATTTAATATGAAGTATCAAAATGTTTTCTTTCCTTTTTTCTTTACTTACTGTATGTAATGTCTTGTTGCTTTGTATGTCTGCCCCTTTACTTTGTTGTATGTAGAAGGTATGATGTTCATTTATGATATTGAATAGATGAATACAAAAATAAATAAAATAAAGTTTGTGGTGAAGAGGTTATCCACCAATCCCAAGTGGTTGGTGGTTCAATCCCCCTTCCCTGAAGTCAATATGTCAAAGTGTCCGTGGGCAATAGTGGTTTTAGAGCAATTTTACTTTGGGGGGGGGGGGCAGTTATTGAATGAGAGGGAACATTTAATGCTGGACAAGGGAGACAAAGACAGTGTTCAAGATTTAGACTTTTTCAGTTCAGTATAAAGTCATAGTGCACATTATTGGTTTTTGTTTAATAGCGGAATTTGTGTCCACGACTTTAATTTAGTGACTTATTTACTTACGCACTTGTAATAAATACATTATTTATGCAGCCAAACACGGTTTTTATTTTGTTGTTTAACTTAGTTTCAATTGATTGAATTACATGACCTAAAAAAAAACATTCCTGTTATCTTAGGCACAGTGTTGGATGCAACATTATCAAAAAAATGCAATATCATAGATTCATTCTCAAGAACAGTGTTAAAGGGGCACGGGCCCAGCCCCTGTTGGCCCCCCTTAGAACCGCCCATGTCCGTGAGCAAGATACTGAACCCCAAATGTCTCTATATGAGTATGTTTGAAAAGTAAAAGGATCTGAGTATTTTTTCCAGCACTTGATGTAATAAGTAAAAAGTGGCATCAAGTGAATTGTGAATAGTGCTGCAGGGATGACGTATTTACCTGGATGTAAGCTGCATGGGTTCTCTCGACAAAAAAGCAACGGGATTTCTCCATTGGAATTTGGAAAATAGCTCGAAATAAGGTCTGTGGAAAACTTATCTGTTAGATAAATGCACGTTTTGTTCAGCCGGATAATCTCCACATGTCTACCCTACTTTTATAATTTTCTAATCATAAATCTAATCGCCAGAAGCAAAAATGCTAACGTTATGCTATAAACGAACTACAGCCGAGTACAGCAGCACGACTTCAACGTCACGCCAACTTAACATCGATATTCAAAACTACAGATTCTAAATGGAACACGTTGAAGCGTTTGTTTGAACAGTTTGCAGGAGGCAGGCACTTGCTTTCAAGCTGAACAGGGCAAACAAACTTAGAGGAGTGTTTACGTGTTCGGCGTAATGACGTACAACTGCCTCGACAACTTCTGTAGTCCTATTCAGCCACTTGTTAAAAACCATCGTTTTTCAGACACGTCAACTTTTCAGAAATCACCAGCGGGGTCACTGCTGATGGATTTAATGTTGTAGAACAAAACTTTATCCGTCTCTTCAATGTGTCTCAACCACAGACCTTATTTCAGCTATTCTCCAAACTCCTATGGAGAGATCCTATTGGCTCTGAGACGAGGGAACAGGAAGTGGTCAAATGCTAACTCACTTCCGGGTTTTAGGACTCGTCACTGCACCACTCTATTACGTAAAGGATAATACTTTAGTAAATGTAGGTGCATTCCAGTAAGTGTGTGAGATGTGTGTGAGATGTGACTGAAAAATGAACAGTAACAACAGCTCACTCTAAATATCTTCTTCTCTCCTCTAGAAAAGCACAACATTTCTAAACTATAGCTAAAACATTTCCAACATCTTTTTAAAGCAGTAAATATGTTTCCTTTCCAGCCTTGGTGGATGACGACATTGAAGATGACATCGGCTGCGTGTTGAATATCATCAGCAAAGTCATGTGAGCTCATTTTAAAATGTCTTCACAGTTAAATCACAGCGTTCACATCGTGTACAGTTACTTATCTTTTTAAAAGGTTTATTATGTTATTGAATGCTGACTTTATTGTGCAATGACCTCCAGGATAATTTATTACACTTTTGTTAAATGTGACATATTAACATGCATTTATAAAATCATTCACTTTCATTCTTTTAAAATAAGGTGAGAAAATGTTTTACACCGAGACAGTCGGCTGTGTTTCTTAAAGATCCCGACATGTTCTAAGACATAAAAACACAAACGTAAAGAAACAGACAGCTTAAGTTATTTTATAATGTACAGCTCTTCATTGCCTTCATTTCCACGAGTCAACAGTAAAATACTGCTGACACATTAAAGCAGCAGTAATCTTGATCCAAAACATCATATCACTTTTACTTTTCACAGTATGAGTACATTTTTCTGAAAATACTTACTTACTTTTAGTTTGATGTGGGACTTTTACTTCTAGGCAAGGCAAGGCAAGTTTATTTATACAGCACATTTCAACACAAGGCAATTCAAAGTGCTTTACAACAATGACAGACATTGAAATGACATTTAAAAACACTCATTTAAAAGCAAAGATACATGAATTAAAGTTGCAGTGTGGGATACACACACCTGAAATGTTTAGATCTAACTCTCAATCATTGCTCACTTTTTAGCAGAAATAGTTTTCTATCACCTCTCTTTCTTTCTACTTTCTTGTTTAACTTGTGCTTTAGTTATTTCAAGTGTTTCAAACGAACCCCCCTTTAGAACATTCTAATCTGACCCCATGGTACCTTTTAGTATTCACCGAAACTATTCCTCTTTTTTATTTTTAACTTCCTCCGCGAACCAGGGTCTTGAGACCAAAACGGCACACGTAGGGGTCTTTAACCCAAACAATGACTTTAACTACCTAGCTAAAAAAAAAGCTAAAAAAGGTTATACTTTGGACAGCAGTTGAATAAAGAAAACATTTTCTGCAGTCAAACTCTGCACATATATCTGAGGTTTCTGAGGGAACGTGAAATTAAAGGATTCATCACGAAAGCAAGCCCTTTTTTAAACATGCTGCAAAGTCCTAATGAAAGTTCTGTGAATGACGATGTGAATATTTCCACAGTAATGGTGGTTTCGCGATGGGGCACAAACCTAAGCTTTTGAGAATGTGAGTAATATCTTTATACAGTCTTTGTGTTGCATGTATTCTTTTAAATGCAATACATTACGATTTCATCATACAAATGACCTAACAAAACCAACATGTGTGGATCTGTTCTGATGTTTTGCAGGGTGAAGCTCATCTTCCAGCCCGAGTGCGACAATGAGAGCGCAGTACACTACTTTGCCGAATGCAAAGACCAATAACTATCATGGAGTAAATAACCTTTTCCTCAAACCAGAGTTGAATTATATCAGTAATAAAGAGAAGCATGTTGCACCTTTTGTTGTGTTTTTTCATATTTCAAGTCTCATTTAAAGTGATTGAAAACGTTCAAATGTGGTATTAAATCAAATAAATTATTACTGCTTTAAAACTACAATTTAAAACTACAGGTGTAAGGAGCTGTAGGAAATGTTAAGGAGGTCGAATTTATTTGAATCTATATCCTCCTGGGACCCAGCCCATTGACAAATGTCCACTGTTGGAGACATTTTGTTAACATGCATCTCCTTTTACTCTTTTGAGCTACTTTATCAATCCCTGATGTACTGTACAGATGGCATCCTGGGCTTTCCAGTGATATGTTATCGGTTAAAATTGCATGCTGGGAAGTTCCTCTTTATTTTCATCCAAAATGGATGGCATACCAAAAACAACATTTTATAGAAGGATGAGGAGAAGTCAAATATTGTTGAATAATTGTAATTTTTACCATGAAAATCATATATGTTCTTGTTTATTAACATGTGAGGAACTATATAATTAGTTAATTAAATAATTCAAGTTTTCAAATAACAGCTCTTTTATAAATGTCCATTCTAGTGGACGTCAGGACCATCTTCATGGACTTAATGACTCAATATTGTTGCAGGAGACGGAACTGAAGCAGACATTTTCTGTACCAGATAGTTCAGGGAGATTCAGATTTTGAGCTCTCAGATGATGAGAGAGATGAGGATTTCACACCTGGGATAGAAGAGGCTCAAGAAGAAGGGGGGGAGATGCAGGAGGCTCCATGAGCGCACAGATACAGACAGAGACACAGATAGCTGGAAAGACATGGTCCTCTGTGGGCCAAGAGCACATATGTCTTATTGTTGTTTTTATTTTAAGTGGAGCCATGAAAAATGAGAATTGCCTCAGGAATGCCAAGTTCGTTTCGATGAGCAGGTCAAATGGAGACAACATCCATAAAACTAGTCAAGATGACCCATACAGCCCATGCTGACTGGAGTCAATGAGGTACTTTTCCAAGTACATTGACTACAAAGTCTTTGAAGCAACAAGTCCTCCAATTCATACGACCAAATATTCCGATTGTTCAGGCCCAATTATTTCGACCAAATATGTCGTTTGTTCAAGCGCTGAATACGTCCTATAATTACGTTTTAAAGTTTAGTGCTCCCGTTGAATGCAAATGTTACAGGTGGTCGTTTATTCACAAATAACCCTCTCTGTGAAATCCTAAATTGTAGGATAGTTTGGCCATTAAAAAGCTTTTTGATTAGATTTCTAGCGAGAAGTGTATATTGTACTTTTAGAATCCACGTCCAGTCGATATGTAGGATATATAGTTTGATAGATATTACGAAGATGATTTGAGGTATGCAGCATGTAAAGTTACGGGTTGAAAACAGTATTTCCGGTCTCGACGTTTTCATAATAAAACCAATGATCAAATGAACATTTAATATTCATTACTAAAGGTACAGCCGAATCATCACAGCGCACAAAACCTATTACCACCGCAGATGGACCAAAAAAGGGAGCGTTTGAAAAAAAAAAGGGGCGGGTCCGCTCAGTGAAACGATAACAACGAAACATGGAGGAACAGAAGTCTCCGTTTAAATTGTGTGTGTGTGTGTGTGTGTGTGTGTGTGTGTGTGTGTGTGTGTGTGTGTGTGTGTAGAGGTGTGTGTGTGTGTGTAGAGGTGTGTGTGGTTAAAACACATCAGCCTGCGGTCGCTCTTAGCCTTTCTAATGATTCTGAAGGTAAACACAGTGAAGGCGGTGCGTGAAAGGCACTGTGCGCTCCTCTTCTCAGAGGCTGAGTTAACCCTCCCGCTGCCTCCTGGTGCTGCAGAGATTTCATGAAGTGAAGGAGGTTTTCCTTCTATAAAACAGCTGTGGGCAGAAGATACTGTGAGTGTCACAGACATGAATACATAGGTCAAGGCAGACTGGTGCACACACTCTCCTGTTTTGCCAATCCGGTGGTTAAACAAATATAGCTCCACACCCCTGGCCGAAATGTCCTTAAAATGAAATCCGAGTTCGACATTTTAATTAATTAATTCATTCATTGCCTTTCCAACTCCTCATGCAGTTGACTGTTACAGGTCTATACAGGTTCATGGTACAATGCATAAGCTTCAAATCGAGAGACTGAAACTGTATTTTCCTTTACCGTTCTGTTTTAATTTCACAATAAAGTTAATAGTCATATTATGTTTGATATTATGTTTTATTAACTACACCACTGGTTTTTTTAACCCGCGCCGCCTAGTGGTTAAAGCACGTTATTGAATTTTGTTGTTGAATACGTTTTATTTGATGAAAACATTTAAATATTAAGAGTAGCCTACATACACAATGGAAAATATCAAGAAGATACTGTAGTGATCTCTACAATAAAACGGTTTAGTGCAGGACGTCCAAAGATATTAACAGGAGGATGTGCAGAACAGACAAACTAATGAGGCTTTATTTAAACATTAAAGAATACTTTAAGTTAAGGTCTTCTTTTGAATAAGAAAAAAACGTTGGGGTTATCCACAGATAAATATGAAGTCTGACAAAGTACTTAACGTCCAATATATTGCATAGTTCACCTTCCCTGAATTTGACTCAGGTTTAACTAAAGTCTGATTTAAGGGTTGTTTATATTTCACATCATTAATCAGAATCTGCAAAGTAACTAAAATAAATGTAGTAGAGTAAAAATACCAGGTTAACCTCTGAATTGTAGTGGAGTAGAACAAAGTAGTATGCTGCTGTAACAAAAACATTTCCCAACTTGGGATCAATAAAGTATATCTTATCTTATCTTAAGATGATCGATGGCTACTGCACTGGCGGCACATATCAGACCCGGGCCAGGGGGCGGGGCCACATGACCGGGCCCTTTAAACCCAATAAAGCTTGACAAAAATATCGGGAGTCCGGGGTGGTAATCTGACGCTCGTGCGTAAAAAGTCGCTCAGTCAGTAAGATTACAATTTAAAACAATGTTTGAAAGAAAAGTAACTAAAGAAAAAGGTGTAATATTTAAAGGGATAGTGGAAATCCGCGAATTTTGGGTTTAACTTATGTATTTTTATTAAAAAGAAGCATATTAAACAATTTTTTTTAATTTCATCCGCCTAATTTCATTTTATTTTCAATTTTACTGCGCCCTCTCAATGAAACGAAATACTTCGGGAATCGTCGGGAATCTTCGGGTGATGACGAGAGCTCAGGAAGACGGGCACAAACAATGGCGGACATTCAATAGCATTTGCATGTGAATAGCCGACCTTTATTATGGTGAATAGATGTGTTTTGTATGGCTGTAGTGCGACAGCAAAATTATACGTGACACAACGACATTGGATTAACCTTGAGATGCGTTTTTATTCCGTTGAACACAACTTTTGATCACAAATCAAAAAAGGTAAGACGTAATTATTGTAATATTTTTGGAACCGGATGTTGTTTACTTTCTCTTTTCTGGCTGATAGCTCCAGGAATTCGAGGTCTTACAGTGATGACATTACATGTGTGGAATCTGTGGAGTCTCAGCTTTAAATCGTATATCTTGTTTGTGCAGTTAAGATAGTAATAAGGGCATTTCTACCGTGTGTTGTGTGTAAAAAAGCGTTAGCATTAGTTAGCATTGTTTCGCTCAATGCTAATTCAAAGGCTTGGTATTACTCTTGTGTTTTTTCTAGCTAACAATTGTTCTTATTGTCAGTTAGCGGAGTTTCTTACCTTTAAAAGGGTATGAAACATTAATAGTTTCATAAATGTTAAGAAGCCCTGAGACATGTGAGAGAAAAAAAACGGTGGGAGGGGTCCACTGGGGGGACCTTCGGCCTTAACTGGTTAACAATGATTAATATTTGTAAAGGCTACAGGTGATCTTAAGATGCGTGAGCTATGCTTAGGGACCTACCAGTCAAGATTATTTGTGCGTAGGGGTGCATCATCTGGCGCCTGGTCCTGGTCATCCTCGCCATTGCCCATGCCGTGAACCATCACCTCGGGCTCGGGCTCGAACAAATAAGGACGTAATGGTCCATCTTCTGGCTCAATATTGTCACCATCGTCGCTTACTGAACCGGATTCAGATTCAGTTCCTAAAACGACATTTTCGTAGGAAAGCCGAGAGGATGTTTCTGACTCGCTATCATCACTGGATACCTCGTACAATCCTTCTTCTTTGTCTGGTATATTTGCCCTTCCACGTTCATTCTGCATAGACGCCATGGTTTGTTATCGTATCGTCTTCCTGAGTTTTCGTCACTTCCGGTTTGGCTGAGAAACATTTCGTTTCTAAAAAACTTCGGGGAAGCTGCAATAAAGTGCTTCTAACATGCGTAAGGCAATTATTATATTTTTTTAATCAGGTGTGATTGTTTTGGTACGTAATTATGCTTGTATATAAGTTAAAACGAAACTATTTGAGGTTCCATTTCCACTATCCCTTTAAGATTTCGTTTTTACAAAGGGTATAGAAACGAAATATATAACAGAGATAATAATGATATAACATGACATAAAGTCCAACAAACCACAAGGACAATGAAAACATAGCCTAATAAAATGACTACATTTCTGACACACCATTCACAGCCACCATGAGAGCAGAGCAGTGTAAAATTGGCACGGCGGCCCATACATTCACGTACAAGTAGGCTACTGTACAAATTACATTTGAAGTGTACTCACCACTACTTGAATGCGAACTTGTCCACAATACGCTGTATGTCCAATTTCTTGGCTCGGTCACTTTCGATGGACAGCAAGAACAGTCCACTCAGTCTCTCCTGTCCCATCGTGCTCCTCAAATAGTTTTTGATGAGTTTTAATTTGGAGAAAGAGCGCTCGGCGGTTGCCACGGTGACAGGAAGAGTCAGAAATAAGATGAAGGCTGTGCAAACCTCACTGAATGTAGATGTTACTGCTGGGTTGTAAACAATGAGCATTTTTACCAGATCCGCGACAGATTTTAGTTTTTGTATTTGGTCCCTGAAACAG